TTCAAAATAACGCTGGATTATCACCACTTTTGAGAGTGAAAAATGCCGGTAATGCCCAGCAGCACGGTCTTTTGTTACAGGGCCCCGTTTCCTTCGTCCGAGGTCAGAGACCCCGGCTGGTAGTGGTTAACACCCCAGAAATGTTTTTGTATTCAGTAATGTTAGCTTCCAGCTGTTTTCTTTTTTTTCTGATGATATGTATTTAATTGTGAAATTCTTGACAGGAAAGAGGTTCTCAGAACTACGACCTGGTTCTGGTTGGTCACTCACTGGGAGCGGGCACAGTATCAATACTCAGTATCCTGCTGAGACCAGACTACCCTAAACTACAATGCTATGCCTACTCACCTCCTGGGGGACTGCTCAGGTGAGTTGTCCTGCATTTCCAGTAAGATATTGACCAGTCCAATGATGGTGTCAGTGAGCATTGTTAGTGGCCCCTTCAGTGGCAAAAAGCACCGTGTTAGGTTTGTACAGGGTGACTCAGAGGCATGAAAGGTTTGATATTGGTTATGACTTTCCTAGATAAAATATTTTGTTTATACCTCGAGCACAACCAAGAGAGGGCACAATTTTCACAGCAGCGGAGGCTCCTTTTTTTGGGAACTGCACTTTGCTGGTTCACAACCAACTATGAGATACATGTGTTGTAGTCGCATTGCTACCAACAAAATTAACACTCTCAACTAACATGGCTCTTCTCAACCAATGGGCAGGGGGAGGGTGGTTTTGCTCAAGGCAGATAGTTTCAGCTGTTTCTTTTGTCCAAAGATTCTTCTCCGCATCACTGTACAATAAGGACTCTTTTAAGCCCTTTCATTTGATTTTTAAGAATGAAAGATTGCATATCCATTTTGCATATTTTACCAGATGGGTTCAGCTTAATTGATTGTAATTTACATGTACTAATACCTATTCCTCCACAGTATGCCGGTTGTCGAGTACACCAAAGAGTTTGTGACATCTCTTGTCATTGGTAAAGACATTGTTACAAGGGTTGGTCTGTCACAGATGGAGTGCTTACGAGCAGATCTTCTGGACTGCATCAAGAGAAGCACAGACACAAAGGTACCTCACAGGAGTAGCATTCTTAATGTCTCTCCATCTAGATTCTTATGGTTTGTGAGATACTGCAGTACTGTCGTATTAACACAATAGTCCAAACAAATTTGTTGGATTTTAGCAAGCTGACTGTTGACTCTATGTAACCCTTTCAACACTGGTAATTTTGTTTCTACCAGTGGTTAACTAGAAATAAGTAGGAGATCCATTACAACAGGTGTTGATCCCTCAGTCTGTGTTGGTATTAAACAGTTCTGTCACAACCACAGTTTTTGCTGGATGTTTTGCCACATTACCAATAGTGTTTGTAGATTGTGGAAGTTTCCAGGACATTTCAATATTATGGCTCACATCAAAGTTTAATTCTTGGCACTGTCTGTCATACACAGTGGAGAATCATCTTTGATGGCTTACTTTGCTGTCGGGAAATCAACCCTAAGAATCTGACTCCTCGAGACTCAACTGACTCGTCACCGTCTCCTCCAAGAATGACCAAAGCTGTTCATCCTACCAACCTGTCGCTTCTACTCACCACCCATAATCCTTTGTACCCACCGGGCAGGATCATGCAGATTGTTCGGACCAATCCAAAGAGAGAAGGGTAAGTTAGAAATTGCAAGCTGATTGACAGAGAAACACCATATGTCATTATATACAGCAATGGAGGCTTTGATCAATTCTGGATGGATCAAAATCCACTGCTTTACAAAACAATTCTAGCAAATTTTCCTGTTCTTTTTTAGCATAGCTATCCTAATTAGTGTCTTCACTCTGATCCCTTGCAAGTCTTTAAATTGAAAAGGGCAAAGGAAATTCCAGATTTGAGTACAAGGAGGAAAATCCATGAAACTGTAGCAGAGAAATCCTGTGGAATCAGGTACATACACAGGGGTTGACAAAGTCAGTCCACACGGTATGGCCCCTGGCTGAAATCAAGAGATAGAAGGTATCAAAGGAAAATGACAACACTAACCTGACTGTCTGTGCTTTTGTCATATGGTAGACTGGACAAGAGAGACTGTGCATGGTTTGCTGTATGGCGTGACAACACAGCCTTTGATCAAGTGTTGATATCACCAGTCATGATAGGAGACCATCTACCGAAGAATGTTATGACTGCCTTACACAAGGTAATTATACACACCCTAGGTGATGAGCTTTCATGCTCTTGCCATTTCTAAAATTTGGCTTCATCTGTATCTTTGACTCTATGCCCTACTCTCAAGAGTTACACTTGTAAGAAATGAAATTCTGAGTCAGACTTGTAAGCAATGACCTTCTGAGTCTCACTTGTAAGCAATGACCTCCCGAGTCACACTTTTAAGCAATGACCTCCTGAATCACACTTGTAAGCAATGACCTCCTGAATCACACTTGTAAGCAATGACATTCTAAGTCACACTTGTAAGCAGTGACCAGAGTCAGCCTTGTAAGCAATGACCTTTTCAGTCACACTCGTAAGTAATGACCTCCCAAGTCACACTTTTAAGCAATGACCTCCTGAATCACACTTGTAAGCAATGACATTCTAAGTCACACTTGTAAGCAATGACATTCTAAGTCACACTTGTAAGCAATGACACTCTAAGTCACACTTGTAAGCAATGGCATTTTAAGTCACACTTGTAAGCAATGGCATTCTAAGTCACACTTGTAAACAATGACATTCTAAGTCACACTTGTAAGCAATGACCTGAGTCAGACTTGTAAGCAATGACCTGAGTCAGGCTTGTAAGCAATGATCTCTTGAGTCACACTTGTCAGTAATGATTCCCAAGTTACACATGTAAGCAGTGACCTCCCAAGTCACATTTGTAAGCAATGACCTCCCAAGTCACACATGTAAGCAA